CAGTAATCTATTTGGTATCTACTGTGTTCATGTCTTTAATAATCACGGAGCGGTTCTTTTAACAGCGTTCATCCTGTTCTGTTATATAATATAAAATATTCAGTTTATTGATTGAAATGTTCTTTATTTATTCAGAATTAAAACGGAATTAAACAAAATGCTATAAAATGTGCAGAAAGAAGAAACAATGAATGAAAATGTATATTTTATGATTCCAGTTTCCTGTTTGTGTCTGAACTATTCATATTATAAAATATGAATAATGTTCCAATTCTGACTAAAAACAGGATTATTACGAACACGCTGGTGTTAAACCTTCAGATATTCCTTCATTCTGTCTTTATTAACTCCTGTTTGGTCGCATTGACTTGATGGTTTCCTTCTTTAGACACTGAACCAACTGAAACCTGTGAAGGCGACGGGACGCTGCTGCGCATGTCCACAGCATCGGCTGCTGAGGGGCGGGGCTTCAGTGACGTAGCAGGAAGCGTCTCCACGCGTGTGCAAGTCCTGAAAGTTTCACGGTGAGATTTTAATTTTCTGCTTTTCTCTGTTTTTACCAGATTTTAAGAAACAGCTGCTGTTAGCATCAAGCTAACGTTAGCTGCTGCTGCACACACACACACACACACACACACACACACACACACACACGTGTTGTGTGTGTGTGTGTGTGTGTTTGTTCGTGTTGTCGGTCTGTAAACGCGTGTTTCTCTCGGAGCCGCTGGACATTCAGAAATGTGTGAATTTCAGGTTTCCTCTCCGGTGGTGAAATCTGATCCTGAGCCCGGTCGCGCGCTCAGGTGTGACTCCTAAGCCGGAACCGGTCGGTCCGACGTGTTTCATCAGAACGGAACATGTGGAACGTCTCTGAACTCAACTCAACAAACTGATCTGAGCACAGCAGCTGCTCTCAGCTCAACGAGCAGCTCGTGACCGGAGTGTGTGTGTGTGTGTGTGTGTGTGTGTGTGTGTGTACAGGTGAGTTGATAATGTCATCAGCTGATGAGCAGCTGTGTCTGAACATCTGCAGCGAAGTGACGTCATCGTCCAGCAGGAGGAGACACGTGACGACTCAGCAGCGATGGAGCAAAGTAAGAACAGCTGCTGTGTACAGGTTGTTTACAGGTTGTTTATAGGTTGTTTACAGGTTGTGTTCATGTTGTTTACAGGTTGTGTTCATGTTGTTTTCAGGTTGTGTTCATGTTGTTTACAGGTTGTTTATAGGTTGTTTACAGGTTGTGTTCATGTTGTTTTCATGTTGTTTACAGGTTGTTTACAGGTTGTGTTCATGTCGTTTTCATGTTGTTTACAGGTTGTTTACAGGTTGTTTACAGGTTGTTTACAGGTGTGCTCTCTGCTGTGTTTCTGCAGAAGAAGCAGAGAGCAGAGAAAAGGAGGTTGAGCTCCTCAGAGGAGGACAGGAGGAGACGTAGATTCAAACAGACAGAGCAGCAGGAGGAGGCGGAGCCTGCGGAGACTCAGGTGAGCTCACCTGTTTGCACCAGTCAGTTCAGTTATTTACTGTTAAAAACAACAGAAGAAACTGAAGAACCAGCTTTTTCTGTTTCTGTTTTTTCCACTCAGGCTCCGCCCACTGAGGTGGCAGACAGAACACCACCGAAGAAGAAGAAGAAGATGAAGGAGACACTGAAGGATGCAGTGAAGGATGCAGTGAAGGAGGCAGTGAAGGAGGCAGGTCGCAGCAGCATCAAGACGTCGTCTCTGTTCAAACACAACCCTGACATCCCCCAGCTCCACAGGTAGCTCCTCCTCTGATTGGCCCAGCAGGCTGCTAATGTCACCGTTTCCAATACCAATAATCAATAATTCATTATGTGATGATGGACCTGAAGCGTTTAATAAGATGTAAGTAGAATATTTCCTTTGTGTTCCTGGATCATCTCCATCTGAAACCTCAGAGATAACCTGAATACTGTCGGTTACCATAGTGACCCAGCACTGTAGCATCGGTTACCATGGTGATCCAGCACTGTAGCATCGGTTACCATGGTGATCCAGCACTGTAGCATCGGTTACCATGGTGATCCAGCTGTGCGTGTCGTTTGAACAGCTACAGTAACTCTGATGTTTCCTCTCAGTCCTGCAGTCTCACAGCTGACGGAGCAGATTTTCACCTCTGATTCATTTTCAGACCTTCATCTGCATCCTCACCTGGTAACACACACACACACACACACACACACACACACACACACCTACCTGTTACTACCTGAGTTACTGTGTTTTATTGATTTTATTAGTAGTTTTTATTTTTTTAAACATTTCATTTGTGTTTTTAATTAACTTTAGATGTTTCACTGTTGCGTCTCTGTTATTGATTTATTGATTTATTGATTTGTTAATTGACCAATTAATTGACTTCGAGAAACACTGATTTTAAACACGTTTGAAAGCTCTGCGTTCTGATTGGCTGTTTGTGTCCTCCAGGTGGCGACGCTGAACAAAGTCCTGAATGTTTCCACACTGACCAGGTGAGTCCACACACGTCACATTCACCTCACCTGGGATCTTTTGATCACCTGATCAATCAGCTGATTTTGTCCTCACAACATGAGGAAAGCGGATGAAACCTGATTTGCCGGGATTGTGTGTGTGTTCAGTGTTCAGAAGCGGTCCATTCCAGCTCTTCTATCAGGACGAGACGCTGTGATTCGTTCTCAGACTGGATCAGGTGAGTCGACCCGTTCAGTTCATCAGCACTGACAGAGCTGTTATTCCAGACCTCTGTGATCCAGTTAGAACTGGTCGGAACACGTCATCATGGATCTGAATAGCTGTGGTGAAGCTGTTGAGCACATTTTAAATTATTTAGTTGTTTTGGACATTTATTGAGTTTTTTGTTGTGATGACTAATCGTGACCCACATGAAACGGTTCCTGTTCTGGAGGTGATTGTTGCTGTGATGCAGGAAAGTCATGTGGAGGCCCGTTTGGTTTGTCGTCATGGTGATGAGATGCTGTGTTTCTGACAGGCAGGTACCTGAGCAGGTGAGTGGTTCCTCTGTAGTGACAGCGTCTCTGTCTGCAGGTAAAACTTTGTCCTTCGCCGTCCCGCTGGTCCAGAGTCTCCAGGAGCTGCAGCCCAAGATCCGCCGCTCAGACGGGCCGCTGGCTGTCGTCATCGTTCCCACCAGAGAGGTTCTGATACGTTCTGACCCGACCTGATAGGTTCTGACACGCCATGGTCAGTTTGTGACGTTCTCTCTCTCTCCTGTTCTCCAGCTCGCCCTGCAGACCTTCCACACCTTCCAGAAGCTTCTTAAGGTAGCTCACCTGCTGCTCCTCTGTGTCTACACCCGTCTACATCCGTCTACACCCATCTACACCCGTCTACACCCGTCTACACCCGTCTACACCCATCTATACCCACCTACACCCGTCTACACCCGTCTACACCCGTCTACATCCGTCTACATCCTTCTACACCCACCTACACCCGTCTACACCCATCTACACCCGTCTAAACCTGTCTACACGTGTCTACACCCGTCTACACCCGTCTACATCCGTCTAAACCTGTCTACATCCTTCTACACCCGTCTACACCCGTCTACATCCGTCTACACGTGTCTACACCCGTCTACACCCGTCTACACCCGTCTACACGTGTCTACACCCGTCTACATCCATCTACACCCGTCTACATCCGTCTACACGGGTCTACACCCGTCTACACCCATCTACACCCGTCTACACCCGTCTACACCCGTCTACACCCGTCTACATCCTTCTACACCCGTCTACATCCGTCTACACCCGTCTACACCCGTCTAAACCTGTCTACGTCCTTCTACACCCGTCTACACCCGTCTACATCCGTCTACACGTGTCTACACCCGTCTACACCCGTCTACACCCGTCTACATCCATCTACACCCGTCTACATCCGTCTACACCCGTCTACACCCGTCTACACCCGTCTAAACCTGTCTACACGTGTCTACACCCGTCTACACCCGTCTACACCCGTCTACACCCATCTACACCCGTCTACACCCGTCTACACCCGTCTAAACCTGTCTACACCCGTCTACATCCTTCTACACCCGTCTGCACCCGTCTACATCCGTCTACACGTGTCTANCGTCTGCACCCGTCTACATCCGTCTACACGTGTCTACACCCGTCTACACCCGTCTAAACCTGTCTACACCCGTCTACATCCTTCTACACCCGTCTACATCCGTCTACACCCGTCTACACCTGTCTACACCCACCTACACCCACCTACACCTATCTACACCCGTCTACACCTGTCTACATCCGTCTACACCCATCTGCACCCGTCTACACCCGTCTACATCCGTCTACACCTGTCTACACATGTCTACACCTGTCTACATCCATCTACACCCATCTACACCCATCTACACCCGTCTACATCCGTCTACACCCATCTACATCCGTCTACACCCGTCTACATCCGTCTACACCTGTCTACACGTGTCTACACCCGTCTACATCCTTCTACACCCATCTACATCCGTCTACATCCTTCTACACCCATCTACATCCGTCTACACCCATCTACACCCATCTACATCCGTCTACACCCATCTACACCCGTCTACATCTTTCTACACCTGTCTACACCTGTCTACATCCATCTACACCCGTCTACACCTGTCCGTATTGAACTCACTCAGGTGTGTCTCTGCAGCCCTTCACCTGGATCGTGCCAGGTGTGCTAATGGGAGGAGAGAAGAGGAAGGCAGAGAAGGCCAGGTAGGTTCACACCTGGACTCAGCGGTTTGAAGTTGAGTTTCAGATGATGAGGAACCTGAAGCTGCAGGCGTTCTCGAGGAGGTTCTGAACTCTGTGTTGTGTCTCTTCAGGCTCCGTAAAGGAATCAACATCCTGGTGTCGACTCCTGGACGTCTGGTGGATCACATCAAACACACCCTGAGCATTGCCTTCAGCGCAGTCCGCTGGCTGGTCCTGGACGAAGCCGACCGGTGACTCGCAGCTTCACAACGTCCAATCAGCTGCTGTGTGTTTGTGAGTCTGTTGTGTTAAACTGTGTGTGTGTTCAGGACTCTGGATCTGGGCTTCGAGAAGGACCTGACCGTCATATTAAACAGCCTGAACGCTGCCGGACCTGGAAGACAGAACGTCCTGCTGTCGGCTACACTCACACTGGGTAAACTTGCCGTCACCACACGGCAACATGCTAGCACGCTAATGACATGCCAACACGCTAATGACACGCCAATAAGCTAACAACATGCCAATATGCTAACAACACAACAACACATTAACAACATGCTAACACACAAATGGCACGCCAACACGCTAATGAAACGCCAATATGCTAACAACACGCTAGCATGCTAACGACACAACAGTACGCTAATGACACGAGAACACACTAATGACACATCAATATTCTACCAACACACTAACGACACGTCAACATGTTAACGTCACGTTAACATGCTAACGACACACCAGTATGCTAATGACACGAGAACACGCTAATGACACGCCAACAAAACACACTGAAGCGCTCATAACAAGAGCCCAAAACCTCCAGTAGGTTTAAAAGGTGTTTTTATCAATAATTAAATCCCTAGAATTCCCCAGTTTATCAGCCAGAAGCTACAAAACAGGAAGAATCATCAGATTTTCTACAGTTAACGAGCAGAGTAAAAAAGTCTGGAGAGGCTGGAAAGATGGAAATAGTTCTGTATCTGCAGTATGAGGACACAAGTACGACCAAAACAAGACAAAAACAACAAAAATAAGACACGAAACAACAAGAAGGACACATGAAACATGACAACACCAGATGCAATCCGCCAGAAACGAGATATTAAACAATAAAAACAAAACTTGAAACCAGATGGTGTGGAGATGAGAGTGGACTTCAGGAGACAGCCCTGTGTCAGCCGGAGAGTCCTTCAGGCTCTTGGGGACGACAATCACCCAGGACCTGAAGTAGCAGAAGAGCATCCGCTGCATCCTCAAC